CTTTCATTTTGTCTACAGAAATTCAATGATCGAATGGTTTTTGCTAAGACTGCTGGTGTGGGATTAATTGCTTGGGTTTCAATTTGCTTGAAAAAATCTATCACAGTTATCTCAATGTAACCCAAAGTTTTTGAAAAGATTACCATGCCATACAATGATAAAGCAAACATAGCCATGCCTTTGTCATCATTTAAGTGCTCCTGAATGAAGTTTCAGAGAAAGTCCCAACGAATGCCGAGATGTTCACCTTTAGGTTTCACAAAGGAATCAATGGTTTCCACTTTAACCCTCATAAGCTTGGCTAACTTTTTACGATAACTTGATTTTGGCTTTTGGGTAAATACTTTATCTGGACACTGTAATTTTAGCCCGAGCAAAATCGAATACTCTTCAATAGTTGGCATCAAATCTTTTTGATTAAAAGTGAAACATCTATAGGATGGATCCCAAAATTGTATAGCTACCTTTATCAATTGCTTATCAATCACTACTGAAATGAGGGATGTAATTTGCCTATACTTCTTACAAAAGCTTTCTTTTCTTTCTTCATTTAATTATCCCCAGATAGCAGCTAAATCTTCTAAATTATTCTGTGTGAGATCCAAATGCACCTTTTCGGGTAACTTTGACACATAACCAATAGGCAAGCAATCTTCATTATTTTGTTGGGCTTCTTTTGACCAAACATATACTTCATTATATGGCTCACATGGGACACTGACTGAGGATGAGCAAATTTAAAGTTTTACGGGATCCATGAAAACTTCTTGGGGAGAAATATGTCATAGAGCAAATATCTCGATGCAGAACTGAATGATATGATTTATGTAAAAAAAAAAAAAAAAAACAAAATTGAGTTAGTGTGAGGATAGGGTTTGAAAATAAATTTTTTTTGAGATTTTTTTGTTTTGTTTTGTGTTACACATAATTTTTATTCTTAGGTATTTCCTATAAGAAGGTAGATGAGGTTGTACCTAAGGTTGGTTTTTTAGGCTTATTACATGCTGGGTTTGGATTGACACGTGACTAAAGGTTCCCAAATTATTCTTCACTATCATTCACGCTGGACTAGTAAGGGACCCCGATCCTCATCCATTACAAGCTATGAACGGAAGGGGTTCAATTTGAGTGAAAATATTTCGCTTGCCATTACGGAGGTTATCACCTCACGAGGGCATGGTACTTTACTTCCTCTTATAAGGGACAGAGCTCGGGTATAGAGCTCAGGCATGAGATGTAGCATGTCATTGTGTGTGCAAATATATCATAATTTATTGAGAGTAATATATATAAAATAAAGTATAAAAAAAATAGTAAAAGAAATGTGTGTGAATTTTTTTTTTGTTTTTGATTTGTTGTTTTTTTTTTACTTGGTTGAAAATGAAAAATAAAAATCTAAGAAATCAATTAGGACTATTTAAATTAAAATTTGAGGATAACGCGTAGTTATTTTTGGCCTGACTCTTAAAAACAAATGGCTATCCCAGCGGAGTCGCCAAGCTGTCGTAACGGTTTTGTGTCCGTCCGACGAATTTGAAAACGAAATAAAAAATAATGGAGTCGCCACCAATCTTTTTTTGGCTAGGTGCGATTGGCCACCTACTAAAACATATCCTTTTAAAATTAATTAAAATTTATTAAAAAGATAATTTTACGGTCTGCGAAACAGTCTGGGTTTAGGAGTCGGTTACGTATGGAAAAAGATTAGCAACCCCACAGCGCCTGTTTAAAACGGTACCAATTAACTACATGTTATCATTTGATTTTGATAAAAAAAATAGTCTTATTTTCGGTGTTTGAAAAATAATTTTCTTTGATTTCTTTTGTTTATTATTTATTATTTTTTTATATTCAAATATTATTCGAGAAAAATAAATTAGAACCTTTTTATTGAAATTATTCTTAAAATGTTCCAATACGTTGGTAACATTAGAAGAATTCTTTCTCACATAGAGATTTTCTTAGGCATCACTTCTCGGAATACCTTAGAATCTCATCTTTGGAGGTTCGAATTTACTTTTCGTAAAAAATCATGTCATGTATGCAATGCAAATAATAACATGTTGATGCACACATTTTATTCTCTTTTTCAAAAATTTTATAATTATTTTATTAATTATTTTATTTTTAATTTTGGGAAAAAAAAATTTTATTGTATCGAAGTTTTCTATAAATATTTCAATACACTGGTAATATTTAAAAAAACTTCTCACCTAGGGATTTCATAAAGCATCTTTACTCGAAATACTTTTGGAATCCCGTCGTTGGATAAAATTTTCTTTTTCCTTATTTATATTATTATTTTAATAAATTAATTAATTTTATTTTTTTATCAAGAAAATAAAATTTTATTGTTTGAAAATATTTTTATAAATACTCCAATACACTGGTAATATTTAAAAAAAATCTTCTCATCTAGAGATTTTATAGGCATCACTACTCGAAATACTTTTAAATCTCATCATTGGATAAAATTTCCTTTTCTTACCTTTTTTATTACTTTTTTATTAATTAGTTTTTATCAATTGTTTTATATTTTTCTTTATTCTAGTTCATTAAAATTTTGATAAGTTTATGTTTAGTAATTATTTTAAATTAATTAAATTAAAACTATTTTATATTTTCTATCATTTATTTTATTTTATATGAAAATTTATACAAAAATAAAATAAAAATAACAAAAAAATCATAAATTAAATAATAGATATATATAAAAATTTTGAGCAAAAAAAAATAAAAAATAAAAAGTTATGGCGAAAATACCTAAAATGCCCCTGATCAACACGATCAAAATTCAAAGGCTGCTTAAATGGCTCAATCAATCGGCTTGGACCTATAGTCAATGGCTTAATTGGCTTGGCTTTGGGTATATGGCTCGGCTTGGTGGCTTGGCTACCACTTAATCAAAACGACGTTGTTTTGATTTCACTATAAATAACCCCAAAAACACCTAATCTCCTTCATTTTTCCTTTCTTCTCCTTCTTTCTTCTTTCTTTCTCTCTCTTCCAGAATTTTTCTTCTTTCTCTTTCCCAGTTTTCGGTGATCCAGTTGCCGCTGGATGCCGTCACTGGTCATCGGTGCCGTCGTCGGTCCCCGTCGCTGGTTACCGGTAAGTGTGTCAAAAATTTTTTAAAAAATACCTAAAAAATTGTTTTCGACCCCGTGAACTCAAATCGAACCTTTGTTTTACAAGAAACGACTTCGAATTATGTAGATCGATGCCTAGAGTTTTGGTTAAAATGAAAAAAAAATTTTCTTTTGTGTTTTCGATGCTAAGATCCCCACTACCAGGTTTTTTTTTTTTTTTTGGATTGTGTTTTTTTGTTTTGGTGTTGGGTTGTTTGTGTTTTTAGCTTCTGTGTCTGAGAGGTTTTTTTTTTTACGAAATGAGCTGGGTTTTTTTTTTTTATAAATGGATCCTTTCTGAAAATGGAGGAAGCTAGAGTCTTTATAAACCAGATGCATGTTCAGAAAGGTAGTCTAGGAGTATGTAGGTGTGGTTGTAGGTGTCTGTAGCGCGTGGTCATAGGGGTGACGAAGGTCATAAGCGTGGTTGGTCTGATGGGACTGGTCTGGTGGCTTAATAGGGCTGCTGGGGCCGACGGAGCCACCATTTTCCAGCCCTTTATTTTTTTTTTGTCTTTTTCTATTTTTTTAATTATTATTATTATTAATATTATTATTAAAATTATTATTAATATTAAACTAAAAATGAAGACAATAAATCCGGATAAAATTGGTGTCTACAATAATATAATATATATATTAGATTATGCTTGTTGTAGGGTTTGTGGGATTATATCACTTTGTAGAAAAAATCATATCCTAGTAATTGTTTGGATAACAATGGGATAGTGTAGTTGGTGCTTACAAATTACACTACACCCATGGTTTATACGGTCGACTGCCATTAGAACTAGAGGGGCTTAGCCCTCCCAAAAGTTTCAAAATCTTTTTAACATATACTATATATATTACATACTATAATTATTTCATATATTTTTATTAAATTAAATTAGTTACTGCATTAAAATTGATATTTGTTAATTTTATTTTTTATCTTTAATCTCATTTTATGCAATGCAATTTAAGAGAAATTAATTAAATTATTATTTGTCATTTTTTATATTCATAATTATTATCACAATTCCTTAAAAATAATAAAATTTTCATTAATATAAAATCACACTCATGTATACTTAAATTTTTTTAACTATCTTCTTTCCTGACCAAGATTTTAATTTTCAATCAAGTACTAAAAATATATTTTTTTTAGTCTATTGTACTTATCTTTTTTTTTATATATATACTTTTGTGATCGTTTTCATTTTTTTTTTTTGTTTGATAAAACTCTAAATGAAGTATGTTAATTGTTTGGATTTTTCTTTTTTTTTTTGAAATACTCACATTCAATACATATACAATAAATGTAGGTATGAAAATTAAAATAAAATCTAAATATATGAAAAAATTTGAAAAAAATAAATATATTCATACTAAATATGAACCTATATTTGACACTCATTCTAGATTTTAAATAACATAGTAAATAAAAAATATATATTTTTAAGTAACCCCTTTAAAATTAAATATCGAAATCTGTCACTGCACAATTTGTAACTGAACCTTTAAAGGTCCAATGAGATATTTTTAATATAAAATATTTAATAATTTTAATAATTTATTGATTTCACAATTATCAAATATATATTACAAATTCTAAATAAAAAATTTTAATTTAATTTATAATAACTATTTTTTTATTATAATTTATTTCACCATCATTATTACATTTATATCTAAATATATATTAACAATTAATTTTAATTTTAACATTACAATAATTAATTTTATTTTTATTATTATTTTTTAATTTTATCAAAATTAATCTAAATAGACCCAAATAGGTTCATAGCTTATTTTTGACTTGACTCTCTTGATTTTGCTAATCGAAGCCCACTTACGTGGGAAATGGCGAATCCCAACAGGACATCACCTTTGGTTTCAAGTCAGCCTCATTTATTTTATGACTACTTGCAGACTCGTTGAGTTTGGCCCTGTGGCTACCCGCAAATTTCTTTATCCTTTTTAGTGAAACTCAAAGTCAATACAAATTGGCTTCTTAATTTGTCAGACAGCTTTTATTTTTACATCTAATTTTGTTCGCTCCCCGGACTTTATCAAATGCAGATGCACTAAATCACCCTTCTATTCATACATGCTCGACTTCTTTCTTTGAGGGGCAAAGATGCCTAACTATTACCTCTAGTTGATATTTAATTTCCCAAAAAAAATACTGTTCCTTCTGTATCAAAATAATTATTTTTTATTAATTACAAATTTTATTTTTTAATTTTATAATTAATGTATAAAAGCTATCCTCAATTGGTTTCAATGGGGATAGCTCAGCAATGGAAAACAAAATGATGGGAGGATAAATATTGTCTTTCTGCTTCTCCAAAAACTTATTAAAAAAAGACTTTGAAAAGAGCGAAGGGCAAAGCTGAAAGCAGGCTTTTGAGCCTTTGTCTTTTATTTGTCTCTGCGGATGCTGTGCCTGTTCTTAATGTCAAATCTACTTCATCATTCTTTGTGGATTTAGCAGTGGATTCCCTTCATACATGTTATGTAAAGAAACAATTGGGGGGGGGGGGGGGAAGGGAGAAAGGCTACCAATGGATTAATCCTTCTACCGCTACCTCTTCCTTTCTTAAGTTTTCTTTTTTTTTTAATTTTTTGATTTTCCTATTTGAGATTTTTTCTGTTTTTCGATTTTGCCTTTAATTTTTCAATTTTTGCTAGAGTGTTCATTGTTGGCAGAAGCTGGGCTTTATGAGAGGAAAGAGAAAGCTGCAAAGAGAGAAGTGTCTGTCGTATTCAAGAGGTAATTGCATGTGTTTTTTGTGAAAAAATTTATGTTTCTATGAAATTTTCAAAAATTTTCAAACTTTATTAGGTTTGAGATACATGCATGAAAAATGATTTTTTGTTGGGATTGTTTTATGGGTTATGAGTTTTGATTTTCTAAGTTTTTGTAGTGGAAGGAAATAGTATGAGGCTCTTTTCAATGTACTCTTATTGCTTCGATTAACCATTTTCATGAGAAGAATAGCAAATGATTTTTTAAAAGGCAATTTGGGTTCATTTTGAGCTCAATATATGAACATGGCTGGCAATTGCAAATATGATTGCTTCTGCAAAGCAAAAGGGGGTTATTGAACAGGTGCATTTTTTAATGTTTACTAATTCTTTTGATGATTTGTTTTTTGGGTTTCTTTTTCATGCACTTTGAATTATGTTGTTGGGTTATGGAGGAGTTGAAATTTCAAACATTAATGAACCTATGAGTCCACCATAGTTCTAATAATATATTTTGTCACTAAAATTCAGATGGAAATTGTTATTCTCTCTAATTGAGATGCCAAATCCCTTCACTTTACTTCACAGATATTATGGAATGTGGAATGACTAGAACAATTCCCCGTCAAGGATGACGATTTCAAATGCTTTGATTAGTAAATAATACAAACTAAAATTTTCTATTTAAATTGAAATCTATGTTTTAAGCATATGGATCAAGTCTTTTTTCATCTCTCCACCGATTTCCCCAATTGCTACTTCCTCAGGGTTCTTCTTCTCTTTCCCTCAAACATTCAAATTCCTTTTTTAAAGATTGAAATTTCAATTTTTGATTGGTTTTTTGTTTTTTAATTAAAAATTATTATTTGAATGTGATTGGCTAATGATTATTTTGTAGATTATCAAGGAACTGAGCATGTAACTGTTGATTATTTGGAGGTTTGTTCAAATTTTTAAGCTGCTTTTGTAGTTGTAGTTTTCAATCTTATATATTGGATTCAGTTTTTGAAAATAATTTTTTTAAGATGAAAATGTGTGTTAGGAAATTGAACGAAACAAGTGGGCTCATTAAAAACTTTTGTTTTGGATTGATAAGAAATCAGGTGCCTCTAAGCATACAAAATTAAATGCCTCTAAGCATACGCCACTAACGAGAGCTATTGGCACAACTTGGTTTTTAGTGTTCATTAAAGCACAAGAAAAATCAACTGATTTAACGATGAAGAAATATCATATGGATGAATCTAAACATAAGTGTTTGCTGAAAAAGGTATAGATTCTATATTAAGATACATAAGACAACTATTTATGCATGTTCTACTATAACTGTCGGCAACTAATATTATTTCCTTTCACTATAAATTGCATTGACAAAATTGTTGAAGATGAAAATAAGGGAGAAATACAATTTAAGCAATGTACTTTGACTAAGAATTTAAAAATCTCATGTGCAAGATGATGCTTCATTCATTGCTCCGGTTATACAAAGTTGAAAACTATTGAGGAGTGTAACGATGCTTGAAGCAAAAATCTCTTAGTGATGCTATTGTAAAAGTGAATTATAAAGTTTCTTTTTCCATTGGAGACAAAATCTCTGGTTTGTAATATTTACATGTGCTATTAATATTGCTAGATTATTATTATTTTAATGCTAGGAGAAAAACTGTCAAGGGAGCTCAGCCAGGCCTTGTTCTGACATGGACACAAAGAGTAAATGACTAATAATTTTTATTAGCAGATTCATTGTCACATGAAATTATTATATATTAGCAAATTCATTGTGTAAAATACATAGCAAATTCATTGGCCTTGACATACGTGTTTAGTCTTTGGTAGGTTTATGTTATGGATTTTCTTTTGCTTATAGGACCTTTATATACTTGAATTTGAGCTATGGAAGTGATACAAAATAATTATCTTGCTTATCATTATGGTTATTCTTTTCCCATAGTGTCTTACTACAACGTCTTCGACACCAGGTCAATGACTCCATTGGAATACTAGCTAGAAGTAGGTATACCAACAATGATGTTGTTGCTGCTGTGATCCTTGGTACTAGATCAAATGTGACTTATGTGGAACGTGCATAGGTAATACCAAAATGGCATGGTCTACTACCCAAATCAAGAGAGATGGTTAGATGTTCTTTAATTGCTATTAGTAAATTTATTTTGTGTGAGATTATGAGAAGAATTTGAACTTGGAAGCGATCTGGCTAGGTCGAGTATTCAAAGAACTATTAAATTTGAGTCAATGTATGTGAGGTTTTGCATAACATTTTCAGACTTCAAATGAAAGTGTATTCCTTCAGAGGAGATGATATTTCTTTCACTGGTTCTATGCTTATTTCTTGAATTCATACATACCCAAATTACATTTCATTTGTGTGAGACAATCTAATGCACAAATGTTTAATTGCTGCTGCTGGAGTATCTAATGCAAAAGTGGTTAGATAGGTGGTACTATGCTGACAGTATGGGTAGATAGCTCTTTTTCTATTTTACCAACAGTTGCACTAAGATGCTGTAGCTAAGAAAAGGGAATTGGAGGCGTATCTTTGCAAAGAGGTGTTTGTTTTAATGCTATTTACCTTCAAATACTTATTAATGGAAAATTTTCAATTACAATGTTTACTAGTCAAACTTTTTCTTAGGAAGCAAAAAGAACAGCCTGTAGCTACAAGTTAGGATTGCCAGTCTCCACCATCTCTTATCCCAAGTGACACACCTGATTTCTTTTTATGCTATAAATAGAAAAAATTGCAAATGGAAATAATTTTGGAAGATGGTTCCTATAGTAATTTTACTTAAAGGAATCAATAAGATAAAAAAAAAAAAAATGGTTTAAGTTTTTACCCTTTTTGAAATGTGTTTAAATAAGAAAATTCTCTTCTTTGAGTGAAAGAGGATTGTGGCTCCACTGTATTTAATAATATCACAACTAGAAAATATGGCAAAAGTTAAAAGCATTAATGGAGTTTTTATTTCTTTGAGTTTATTAGTTATTTCATTAAAATGATTTGTTTATGTCATTAAATTTAATGAAATAGAATTGATTTGATTTTTGTAGCCTGGTTGAAGTTTACTTTAACAATATAATTATTTTTGGCTTTGGGTGTAGGTGCAAACGGGGACACATTCCTTTACATTTAATCATGTTTATGGAAATGGTGGTTCTCTGTATCTTCCATGTTTGAAGAATGTGTTGCTTCTCTGGTTGAAGGTTTGTTCCAAAGATATAATGCTACTGTACTTGTTTATGGTCAGGTAATATCGGTTGATATATGAGAGCTGTTCGAAGTTAAACAAGCTTTTCTTAGTGTCTTGATATTTATGTTCATGGTTGACATGTGCAATTGTCCCAAACGGGATTTGGGAAGACATATACCATGGGGACAAGTATAAAAAAGGGTTGCCAGATAGGATTGATTCCTCGAGTTATGAATGCATTGTTTAAGAAAATTGAAACATAGAAGCATTAAACAGTGTTGCAGCTGCATGTTCCTTCATAGAGGTAATGAAAGAAATATTTATATGGTTTCGCATCCCATAAAAAAAAAACTTCTTCATATTTGCTACTTAGAGTAGATATAATAAATTCAAAACTCAAAACCAAAAAATTTTAATTTGATATTCTTTTCATATGTACTCCAAGAAGCAAAAGTATAATTCTTTTTATTTGTAGTATTGACAATCTGCTGTTTATGTTTGGAAATGAAATAGTTTTTTTCAGCTGTGGTCTGCAGTTAGCTGATTCTCTTATATTTGCAGGCAGTGAACAGGTGTACCAAAAATTGAACGAGTCAAAAGAAAGCAAAAGTGGAACTTACATTTTAGGATTGAGTTTTAAGTTTTATCTCAATTATGTCATTAGACTGACTACTCGAGGATCCAAATCAGTTACTTTGTTGTAACTAAGACTATTAATTATCCTTTGTTTTTTAAAAACTATTTTAAACATTATTTATTATTTTTTCGAAATTATTACTTTTTTTTTTTTATTTTTCTTTCATGGCAAACAACTTTTTTTCATCATTAAAAACAAACCTATAGCATGTAAGAGCGTTCACACTATTTTTATTAAAAATAATAGCAAAAATTGAATTAATTTAATAAAAAAAAGTTTTGAAACTGATGAAGAGTTTTATAAAAGTGAACTTACATCTTTAATTAAATATTTCTTTATTTACAATGGATGATATGAAAAGAATGATGATCACTATCATATCTAACTTAAAAAAAATACTATCAATATGTTAAAAATAATTAAAAATAAAAAATATTTCAAATTTTTTTTTTTAAAGTATAACATAAAGACTTATTGTTTCCCTTTTATCTAAAAAATAACTTTATTTTGTTGACATATATAGAAATAATTGTCAACTCAATATATTTGTACAATAATTACTTGAAGTATGTCAAAAATAAGAACTAATAAAAAGTAAATGATTATAACAAAATTAATAATTATGATTTGTTGTTTAATCAAATATATATATATATATATATATACCACCTAATCAACATTATGATAAAAATAATTATTAATTTTAACTATTTAAATATTTATTCTTTATTTTTTTATAAAATAAAAAAAAGCATTAACAAATTTTTACTATTTAGCAAATAAATTGAAAAAAAATATTTTTTAATGAAAAAATATTTTTATAATTTTTAAAAATTTATAAAAATTTAGACTTTTTTTAGATGAATAATATCATTTATAACATATTATATATAAATTATCATTCACCTGTAACTTAACATTTATAAATATATGATTATATATTAGATAAATAATTAAAAAATAAATTTAAATTTATGAAAATTTTAATAAAAAATCCTTGCACGAATTAAAAAAGCTAATTTTATTTATAAAAAGATAAGACAGGATCATCTTTTCATATACATATTTTGTTTTAAAATAATTATTCCGTATTAACTTTTTTATTTTTATTATCAAAGTAACTCGATCTTGATCTTATTTTTAAAATATTATATTAAATTAAATTTTAAAAAATATGTTCTAAAAAGTTTTAAAAACTAAAATTTACAAATTTTTTTAATTTTATAATTTAATTAAAAATAATAATCAAAATTAAATGAATTTAAAAAAAAACTAATTTTAAGGTAAAATTATTATTATTATTATCGTCGTCGAAAGCTCAAAGGGTGAGAGAGGCGTTGCTCACGTGGGCCCACCACTTAGGTTTAATGGGTGAGCCGTTTCTTTTTTTGTTTTTTTCACTTCCATTCTATTTTCTCTCACACATTTAATCAGCAAAGAAAAAATAAAGGGGTATTTTTCTAATCAATGATATAAATAAATAAATTTATGATTTTTCGTGTACCATACCACACCAAACCATTACCCAAACACTTTACCACAAAAGACCAACAAAAGACAGACAAACACGTTTATCATCATCTCATCATCGTCATAATCAGAGAAACTTTGGCAACTTGTCTTAACTTCCGTTTACTTTCCGGCAACTATCAGCCGCTTCATCTGACCAAGTAACCGTTAAGTTTGTTAATCTTTCTTTGCCTTTGACTCTTTCTGCTTCTTTTTAAATTTTAGTTTATTTTCAGCTTTTATTTGGATATATTGTTATGAGATGTGAAAAAAAAAAAAAATCTCAGCGCTTTGAATTTGGGATTCAGTGAAAAGTAGGATTTTTTTCTTTTTTTTTTTTAGAGTTGATTTGGTATGGGGGTTGGTCTTAATTGGAATCACGGGTGTGTTGGTGTACTGTTTTTGGACTTCTGGGGAAGAACCGAAGCTGATTAGTTGTAATTAATAGTATAGTTTAGCAATTTTGGGGTCTTGGAGCACTGATCTGTAGCTGGAATAAGGTTAAAGTTCTGGTTTGTTGTTGTTAAATTGTCCTTTTTGAGGTTAAATTACTGGGTTTTGGTCTTCTGGTTATCTGGGTTTCATAAATGAAGGCTAGATTTGGAAGTGAAACTCATCATTTTTATGGTATGAATCCGGCGGATTTGCGGGCAGTGGGGAAAAGGACGTTGGAGTGGGATTTGAATGATTGGAAATGGGATGGTGACCTTTTCATTGCTAGCTCCATTAATCCAGTATCTGCTGATAGCATGGGAAGGCAGTTTTTCCCACTGGGGTCCGGGATTCCTGTGAATTCGTCCAATAGCTCTTCGTCATGCTCTGGTGAAGTGAATCTGGAAACTGAGAAAGGGAAAAGGGAATCGGAGAAGAAGAGGAGGGTTATTGTGCTTGAAGATGACGGTCCGAATGAAGCAAGTAGCCTTACTTTGAAGCTTGGGGGCCAAGGTGGTGAAGGTTTTCCAATCAGCCAAAGGGAGATGAGAAATTGGGAGGGAACTAGTGGGAAGAAGACTAAGTTGAGCGGAGGTTCTGGAAATCGTGCAGTTTGTCAGGTTGAGGACTGTGGGGCTGATCTGAGCAATGCCAAGGATTATCACAGACGCCATAAGGTTTGTGAGATGCATTCAAAGGCTAGCAAGGCACTGGTCGGAAATGTCATGCAGCGATTTTGTCAGCAGTGTAGTCGGTAAGCATTTAAAATTTGAAGCGCTTTGCAGGAATCAAAGAGAGAGGCTAATTAAATTTGTAGAAATTCTGATGGAAGGAAGTCTTAGTGATTTTGTCTACTTGAAGCTGAAAATCTATATTGTTGGATGACATGTTGTTTGGTTTCTGGTAGGTTTCATGTCCTTCAAGAGTTTGATGACGGTAAGAGAAGCTGCCGCAGACGTCTGGCTGGCCACAATAAAAGGAGGAGGAAAACAAATCCTGACACTGTTGTCAACGGCAATTTAATTAATGATGAGCAGACTAGTGGTTATCTGTTGTTAAGTCTGTTGAGGATACTTTCTAACATGCATTGTAAGTAACTTGATGGCTTTCCACTACAACCAAATTCTAGTGGGTTTATGTCTGTGGATTTTAGCCTAACATATTTTCTCTGACAAATGGGGCTCAATTTGCATTGATTTTTCATACTTTACAATCATTTTCCCAAATTTTTTGGGGACGTAAGGTGATTTGATGGCGATGTTTGAACAAGCTATGCAAAATGAAATTTGAACTCTTGTGCGGCTACTGGATTTTCTCTCAGGATGGTTTATTATGCACTTTCTCTGAAATCTATTTTTTATGTGAACTTAGAAGTTAGACATAAAAGAGCTGGTATGATTCTTTGGCAGTAGCATGATTCTAGCTATCGTATTTTGCCCGGAATAATTTGTATTTGCTTACAGGGTGAATTATTCATTTTTTTCTTAAATTGCAGCTAACAGATCTGACCAGACCACAGATCAGGATGTGCTATCTCATCTTCTAAGGAACCTTACAAACCATACCGGTGAACAAGGGGGAAAAAACATATCTAGGCTTTTGCTTGAACCTCAAGATTCAGAAGCAGTTTCGGCTTTGTTTTCGAATGGCCAAGGCCCTCCTCAGCCTTTTAAGCAGCACATCACTGGACCTGCATCAGAGATGCCACAGAAAGGAGTATGTTCTCATGGTGCTAGGGGTGATGAACTCCAAGGCGATACAGCTGGAGCGGCTAAGATGAATAATTTTGATTTGAATGACATATATATTGACTCAGATGATGGCACAGATGACATAGAGAGGTCACCTGCACCTGTGAATACAGGGACTAGCTCTCTTGATTGCCCTTCATGGGTCCAACAGGACTCTCATCAGTCAAGTCCACCACAGACTAGTGGAAATTCTGATTTGGGATCTGCCCAATCACCTTCTAGTTCCAGTGGTGATGCTCAGGTATCTCTATGTTGTATAATATGCATGATTGCATTCCTATTTTCTTTTAAAATTCCATGAATATTACTCTGAGATATAGGACATTTGCTAGATGGCTTGATTTTGTGTAGGAGGTTCAAATAGTGCCACAAGTTAATGTTCTAGGAGTGTTAATAGTTAAGCAGTCAAGCCTCATCTCTGGACATCAATCTATGAACATCTCCTCACAAAGGTGTAGAATGAGCCAGGTTAAGGCCTCATTTAGGAATCATGCAGGGCAAAGTTTAGCAAGATTAGGCTAACTTCAACTAGTTAGTTCAAATAATTCTAGACAGTGTCTGATGAGTTTATCTCTTGTGTGATGACAAGCAATTACAACTGAATATCTTGATGATCCATCTCCTCTGCCGAGTTATAAAATTCTAATGAAAAGCTTAACTTCTGATGATTTTTTTTTTTCCTCCAACCATTGCAGAGCCGTACAGGTAGGATTGTATTTAAATTATTTGGGAAAGAACCAAATGATTTTCCTCTGGTCTTGCGAGCACAGGTACTTAAAGGTTTTTGAATGTGACTATACTTTGTGGTTTTGCTTCCTCAGAAATTTTACTTATGTAAAATGTTTGAGCTTCCAGATTTTTGACTGGCTGTCTCATAGTCCCACTGACATTGAGAGCTATATTAGGCCAGGTTGCATTGTTCTGACAATTTACCTTTGTCAAGCTGAGGCTGCATGGGATGAAGTAAGCTTGGTTTGCATGAAACTATGGATTTTTATCTTTTTTGCTTTTAAATTCTATTAATCTCTTCATAATTTTAATCCTCTATCATCTTTTGTCAGCTTTGCTCTGATCTGAGTTTCAGTTTGAGTCGGCTTCTGGATTGTTCAGATGACACTTTCTGGAGGACTGGATGGATTTATATAAGGGTGCAAGATCATATAGCATTCATTTATAATGGTCTGTTTGGTCTTTTCTTTATCTTTATTGGTATTTATTTAATTGATGGGACCAAATAATTGGCAAGCAAGAGGACTTCTGTATGCAGGATTGAATATTCTGATCATTTTATTTTTATGCTGCAGGTCAGGTTGTGGTAGATACATCTTTACCACTTGGAAGCAACCATTATAATAAAATTGTGAGTGTCAAACCAATTGCAGTATCTGCAACTGAGAGAGCTCAATTTTTGGTTAAAGGTATCAATCTGTCTCAACCAACCTCAAGGTATTCTTTACTCTTTTCTTGTAGTCAATATTTCTTGTGTCATTTTATCCCCCAATGGCTTGAAATGATCCTTGGGAGTGTATATAAGAATAGGTTTAGTTTACTGTATTATATACTTTGTATCGGATTTCTATGGTTGCTCTAGAGCCTTTTTATGTTCCTGGATTTCCTGTCCCAGGTTGCTCTGTGCAGTAGAAGGAAAGTATCTGGTACAGGAAGCTACTCATGAGTTGCTGGATGGCAATGATGATTTCATGGAGCAAGATGAGCTTCAGTGTGTTAACTTTTCTTGCTCTATCCCTACTGTGACTGGGAGAGGATTCATTGAGGTGGTCTTTCTTCTACTTATAATCGATCCCGTTGCTCCCTTTCTCCCTTGCTGTTATCTTGACATGGATTATATGTGAATTCTAGTAAAGTTCCTTCCAATGGAGTGAGAGGTTACAATGTAGATTGTAGATAATAGGCGTAGTGTAAATATGTCCCGGTTGGCACTAACTTTAAAACTTCTTTAAGGTGGACTGTTGTAATTCCGTACATGAAATTCTATCTTATTTATGGTGAAATTATGGGGATTGGTTCGGGGGCAAAGAGAGGGAAGAGGGAGGCCCTAGGACAATGAGAATTTGAGACAAGTGGTGAGAAATTTGTCTAAATTCTTGGAAGTAATTTTAGTGAATCATAGAAGATGCTTGGCTGCTTGGACAACTTTTACTAATTTATGACTGGCATTGGTATTATTGTGTTTATGGTGGAAATGTGGAGAAAGATGAGGAAGCATGACTCTTTTTGGTTTTCTGGTTGCACTGTATTCTCCAGTCAGTATGTTCTTTTCATGGAGTGGAAAATAAATAGAATCTACTCTAGTATCTTTTTTTGCTGCGTTTTATTTTTTTCCGTACATGCACGTGATAAAAGATGCATATTATATAATTTATTCTGAATATGTCTTTGTTTTAGCTGAAGTTGACATTTCCTTGATCTTATCCAGATTGAAGACCATGGTTTTAGCAGCAGTTTCTTCCCTTTCATAGTTGCTGAGGAGGATGTTTGTTCAGAGATCCGTATGCTTGAGAGTGTACTGGAGATTACTGACACTGATTCAGATGTTGGCAGAATTGGAAAGATGGAAGCCAAAAATCAAGCTATGGACTTTATTCATGAAGTTGGTTGGCTTCTTCATAGAAGTCAATTGAAGTCTAGATTGGGCCACTTGGATCCTAACCGGAAACCCTTTCCTCTAAGTCGGTTCAAGTGGCTTATGGAGTTCTCTATGGACCATGAATGGTGTGCTGTAGTGAAGAAACTTCTAAATATTTTTCTTGATGGAATAGTGGGTTCAGGGGAGCACCCTTCCCTTAACATTGCATTAACAGAAATGGCTCTTCTTCACAGAGCTGTTAGGAAAAATTGTAGACCTTTAGTGGAGCTCCTTTTAAAATTTGTCCCTGAGAAAGCTTCAGATAAATTAGGATTTGAAAACGAGACAGTGGCTGGTGCTGTCTTGTTTAGACCTAATGTCCTAGGCCCTGCAGGTTTGACTCCTCTTCACACTGCAGCTGGTAAAGATGGTTCTGAGGATGTGCTGGATGCATTAACTGATGATCCTGGAAAGGTAATCTCTTATCATATTAATTTATTTCTGAGCACACCAGGAAGCGAACTACAGGAATTGTTGTTTCCATTCTCTAGCATCAATTTTGATGATCTTCTGAAATGCATTCCTCTGTAACTTGTTCAATCTGCATACTGTCTTTCATGGTCTATTTCTCAGTTTTGGCTGAAAATTTCAAGACTGCCCACCATTAGTGCAATTGCTTGATTCAAAATTGCTATGACTCCACACCCATCCTAGGAACACTCTTGTAGTAAACTGCCAAATACACTCCCCCAACACTTCCACTAGGATTTGAACTTGAGTTCTTTGCTTGGAAATGCCCTCTGAAGTTAAGAATGAAAGTATTCTATCGTTAAATCTAAACACAGTTCTTGTATTTTGGATTTTTTCTTTTGAAAACAATCGTATGTATTTTCTGTTCAGGTTGGAATAGATGCTTGGAAGAGTGCTCGGGACAGCACTGGCTCAACGCCTGAAGATTATGCTCGATTGCGTGGCAGTTACTCGTACATACACCTGGTACAGAAGAAAATTAATAAGAGACCAACTTCTGGGCATGTGGCGGTTGACATTCCCAGTGCCCTCTCTGATTGTAGCACAAACCAGAAGCAAAATAACAAGTCAGCCTCCAGCTTTGAGATTGACCAGCTTGAATTGAGATCCATGAAACGACATTGCAAGCTTTGTGATCAGAAGCTGGGTTATAGCCACGGAACGGCTGGCAGGACATTGGTTTACAGGCCTGCAATGCTCTCAATGTTAGCAATAGCTGCAGTATGCGTCTGTGTTGCTCTACTATTTAAGAGCTGTCCTGAAGTTCTATACGTGTTCCGTCCCTTCAGGTGGGAATTGTTGGAGTACGGAACGAGCTGAAAGTCAGGTAACTCTCAAGTATAATTAGGTGGTTTGTATTTGTAATCCGTTTATAATTAGACTGTAAAGTTGAGATTTGGTGTATGACTGAGTTGACAAATGTTTATTTGGTTGTTCAGTCATGAATGTAATGTTTTCAGGGTATTAACATAACACATGCATATTTGCATGGGTCTCTCTCTCTCTCTCTCTCTGGGGTCTGAGGTTCCTGACTTTGACATGGATAGCGGGTTATGTAGCATTAGCATTGTTGCCATTTTTTTTTATCTTATCATAATAATAAAAATCTGTGTTGCTGCAGCTCTCCTGTTGGAGGATGATTGATCCCTTCTTCTTTTTTATTAAATTTATGGTTTTTTTTTTTTTTTTTTTTGGCTCTTTGCGATGATACTAGAATTACGTCTGGAGTTAGCTGTGGGTTTATTTATTTATTTATTTGTCGTTATTCTTAGATGATAATATTTATGAAGATTAAAACTAAAAGAAAAAAAAAAGGAAAAAGGTTCAAACAAATAAGAAAAAGGAAAATGGAGTCAAACAAAGGGTGTTACGTGGATATTTTTACTTTTTTTTTTATAATTTTAAAATGGATCTAATTAAATAATAATAAGAAACCAAAAAAAGCAAAGGGTAGAAAAAGAAAAAATCAAGTTTGAAATTTAGTAGACTAGTCATGGTCATCCAAAATACATACTAACTATAAGAAACGAATACAAAATATAATTAGCGACATCAAAAAATTTAGGATCTTTTAAAAGATGATAACACCGAAATCAATATTTAACAATCAGCTTGAATGTTAACTATATAATTGTGGTATTTTTATTAAGTTAATATCTTTAAACTAAGGTATCAAATAATATATAACTTTATTAGTACATATATATAAATATAAAATTAAATAAATAACAATATATATATATATATATATATATATTTCAAGGTGGATGGAAGTCGAACATCTTAAAATTGTTTTTGAGCTAGCTCCATTTCCTTAAAAATAGTCAATCCAACCCTAAATCAATTCTAATTTAAAAATAAAAAATTTGCTTTATATTAGATCTAAGCTAATTAAACTCCGTTGGATACAAATTATTTTACCATCTTTATTTACCAATTCATTTTATTATAAAATTTATTTAATTAAAAAAATAAAAAACAAAAAGAAAAAAGCGAAAGTTTTGTCATAATGATAAAAATAGATTGGTAGAATGCTTGATATTAGTAAGACTGATAAAATGATGGGATAAAATTTTCATTAAATGGTTTTTTTGGGCACAAAAGTTTAATTAAGTTAGAAAAGTGAAAATATGCAAATTTATGCAGTTCTATCAGAATGTCCAACAAACATATTTCTTAGGGAGGGCTTGTCGACGATCAACTTACTTCATGAATATACATTTTATGTTAGCTCAATGACATAACTCTTGGTGATACTTCATAAATGGACATTTCCTAGTACAGCTATGTGATCATGGTGTTTAAATGATTGGCAATAACAGTAAAGGGGGAAAAAAATATCTAGAGAGTAGCTTACAGGTTATGTCCTTTGTGCCAAAGTAATGCTCCATATTAACCAAGAAGATAAAATGGTAAAAGCCAAGCGTATTAATTGGTAGTATTTGGGACTTCTCCAATAGGACAAGTGTCGTTGCTCCTATCCAATTTGTGGAAAAGGTGTAGACAGATGTAGTTGCTTCTACAGAGAAAGCTTTATCGACTCTATATTTCTTTGTTTCTCCTACAGAGAAAGGAACATGTATCACCTGGATAATAAACAGAAGTTAGGCACCAGAAACCTATCCTTATTTGATAAAGCTTTGTTACATTACTTGTGGTGGGGACGTGGTGTGAGAAATGGAAGAGGGTGGATGCTGAAACACGTACGTAACTGAAATGTGGAAGTTGTACAAAAAACTAAATGGGGATGGTTTCAGGGATGGGGTGAAAACTAAAAAATTGTTTGATTCGATTGTTGTTAAGAGTGTTTGTGGCTCCTGGAACTAAAATCCAAAGAAAAACTGCAAAAATAAACCCCCCCCCCCCAAAAAAAAAAAAAAAAAAAACCTCGTTATTGGTGGAACCTTGACATCGTAATAGTTTTTTCAACTTATTTATCATAATGAACTTACCGGTAGCGATAAGATTCTTTTTAGACACAGGCAAAGTGTATTCCAAGTTGAGCCTCTGCAGAAGTAATGACTTCTAACATCCACGTTGCTGGCTGGGCTATGGGTTTCTTTAATTTTTGGTACTGCAGGTAGTAAGGGATGATCGAGTTAGGTAAAGAGAGTTGCTGTTCCTTTATTATAATATCATTTTCATGAATGTCGTACCCAGCTAGGTAGCTAGGAAGCATGTATGTAGACATGTAATGCAAAATAATGATATTGTTTTTCAGGATTAATACCTCAAAGTATTCAATAAGCCTAGTTGGTAATGTTGACCCGGCCCTCCAGAATATATCATTTGTCATCAAAATTAATGAGGTGCTAGGATATGAACATGTTATGTAAAAACAAATATAGTACCCGATGATATTTATAATTAGTCTGAATGCTTCCATCCCTATATTAAATTAACATATTTCTCCAGTAATGCAAGAAAATGGATTTTTCATATTCTTTAGCTTATTATGATACGAAGTAAGCTATAACAGCACTTTCTTTGGTGTTTATGATCTTGTTGCCTGATTAAATCATGTCTAATTAGTACATTTAAATATTTAAAATGTCGAAAAACCATCAGAATAGTTCTCTTGAAAGACTAAGTTGTAATTTTATTGCAAGAAACAATTATCATGTATGTGAACCTGTCAGTTAATTTGCCCATCAAATCTGTTGATGCTTCATTGGGTGATGAATGGTGCATACTATTGCCCTCATTGCGTTAATGACAATTGTAGCTGCTTAGGCATCTAAACCAATTAGAAACAAGTTGTACTGCTATAGTTAGCAGTTTACGCTAGCTGCGCCGGTGATATTCCACTTATACGATGGATGCCGACTAAAGCACCTTTGATTTGATTTCATCCACCTCTCCGCTACAAATGCCGGTTAGATGATAGGTAATTAACTGAGTAAAAAGTTTTGAAGCAATTTATTTTCACAATCATGATACGTAATCGATAAGCAAAAGCAATAATCTTTTTTAATAGAATACGTTTCTCTTTTTTTTTTTTTTATTACTGACTTTTAATGAGAAAATATCATTAATTAAAAGGGAAGAGAATATTTTAGTTATATATTTTATTGAAATTCTAAATCACACTAATTTAATAAAATGTGTAAAATCTACGTATAAATGGTCATTATTAAATTATTTAAAATTTTATGTGTATCTCATATTAAGATTAAAGTTATCAATTAATTTTATTAAATTATAGTATTATTAATTAATAATAGTCCACATAATGAAAAATTATCTCATCCAACATAATCAACTTATAATATATTAAATAGTATAGTGTATTCTAACTATATTGACTAAAAACCTTTTCTTTCAATTAAAGTAATCGACGATTGAATTTGATAATTTAAAACATGATACGATGACATGATTTGAATATAATATAAAAATAGTATACGATAATGACATTGTTTAAAATTTTAATAATAATTTTATATGAGTTTAATCAAATAAAAAAATATTTTATGTTTTTATATCGATATAAATTATGATATGTAATTTTTGTTTAAATTATGATACGAATATATAAAATTTATTATTTTACACAATACAAATACATGAATCATTAAATTTATTGATAATTATTACTTTTTTTTCCACCTTGGTGATTAGTATTTAAAATAATGAGGTTTCAAAGCACGCTTAGGTTAATTAGAGACTTGGAATACCAAATTTGACATGGGGAAATACTAAACGGTGAGTTAATTCATTTCCAAAACCATAGGAGAAAGTTACATATGAATTTTGAACTTAAACTTGGATCACCTTTCCAATCTTTGCATAATAATAATTTTAAATTGCATTATTTTTCTCGCAAACTTTTTTAAAAAGAAATATCACATTGAATATCTGAGAAACCGAAACTGTGATCTACACGAAGAAGGCCAATGGTAGTAAAAGCAGCCTTGTCCGTTTTTTCTTTTGAACATAACAATAACAAAACGTCTTGTCCACAAAAGTCCAATCGATAGATATTTCGATTTTGTTTTTTCAATGACAACATTAATGCATGTCACTGTTACAGACAGCTCTGCCCTTATTCTACTCAAAGTCTTCTTTACATTAATGCAAATACCACCCATGTAAGTGGAAGAGCATTATTGACGATTTGCTTTTTATATAAACTTCACTAAGTCTAAGTGTCACAGTTTGCGGATGGACCAGGCCCAGTATTCTCTCCAAATCAAGATGGAGTTTTAGTTTAAGTGGGGCAGAAATAGACAGTAAGGGAGATCAGGTCCAGAGATGCTACGGATGTCCTGGAGGTAGGACCAAAACCTAGATAGGGTGTACGGATGCCGAAAAAGGCTCTAGGAGCCTAGACTAGGTGATTAAGTTCAACAATTTTGAGACAAACCCAAGCAAAGGCCCGGATGCGAGCCCAAACACGAGCAAAGGTAGAAAACTAGGTGTGGGCCTAAATGCAGGCAGTATTGAAGATAGACCTAGAACCTTCATAGATAGTCTTACCTTGTTCAAATCTTTATTGATAAAGTCCTTATAAATTTGAACTCCTTGAAGTCTTATTTAATCTTTGGATTCTATGAAAGCCATTAGATATGATGAATCAAACCCATTGATATAAAGGGTCTCAACTATAGTTTGGGTAGCAAAGTCTTGGAATATTAAGTGCATGAGCATTAGTCTAAGTATTAGGTTGATCTTGGACATTGGACAAGTCCATTCTCGAGTTCAAGAGCCACACAAGCATGGAGTTGAAGTCTTGATCTGCAACAGTTGGTTTCATAGCCTTGGTTCGGAGTTGGTAACAGAACTTGGTCTAGAGTTAGGGATTAGTGCAAGGTTGCTGCTAGAGCTAGAGTTGGCGTCAGAAGAGGTTCAAACTTGTATGGTGTGGGCATTTTACTATGTGGTGCGAGCATCACAGTGTTGATGTGCTTATGTGCTGGTGAGACACGCTTTGATGTGGTGTGTGCGGGTGTGCTGGATTATAGAATAGGCACTTGACAGATTGTTGATGTGGTACTATGGGTGTGTTGGGGGTGCTGTGCAAGTGTGCAGACTAGTACCTGATAGAGTGTGCTGGGCATGTTGTACTGGTGTGCAGACTAGGGCTTAACAAAGTGTGATGATCGTGAGTGCTTTCTTGGAGTGCTGTGTTGACAGATTACTGTGTTAGTGCGCTGGGAGT